TATATATATGTGGGGAAAAATATTATATACCCAAGTCCGACTTTTAAGTGTACCCCTTCTATTGCGAGAGATGGGCCACACAGCTCTATCAAGCATTTGAAACTGTAGCCGTTCTCCTTTTTGTAACTGTCTTTCCTCTAAATAATGTCTGGATGCATATACAAATATCTTTTTGTTGTTGTTGTTGTGGTATAGTTTGGCTCTCAGACACACACGTTGGCCTGAAGTTTCGATTTCAGAGCATTTAATGAAAAGATTGTGACCCAAAAAAAAAAAAAAAAGAAAGAAAAAAAAGGGAGACAGCAAAACACAAACCCAAAGAGCTTATGAAAAAGCCTCCCAGGGGTTTGGATGTGGTATGTGAGCTGAAGTTCAGTACACGATTAATTAAACACAGTGTAGACACTGACTTGGCTTCGCCTCTTCCCTCCAAAACATGCAAACCCAAATAATGTGAAATAATAAACAGTTATTGTAAGAAACAAGCTTGTTTTTTTTAAATATTATCCTATGACCGCGGCCGTCAGTAAACAATTCGTAACCAGAGGGCGCTTTAACTGCTGTTGGGGTCCCTTTGATTTATTCAGCCGAGTATTGAATGGGGCAGGGAAACAACAAGGGGAAAAATAAATATTTGATCAAATATGCGGAGTTTAACTTGACTGGTGTAAAATGAAATGTTGCAAAGGGACCTTCAAATCCCCCTGCTTCTCACGTGGCTTCTCACGTCCTGGCACTGCTGAGGGGAAGTCAAAAGGAATCAACATCCCCGAGCTTTTAATGGTGCATCTTTGATGAAATCGATAGGTTCCGATAATCATCTAAAAGCTGCTCTCTACCGCCTGAGCATGTGCTTTTAACTGCATTTGCAACAGTTCCCTGTAACTACAATTAAAAAAAACCCACTGCAGGCAAGTCGCATTACTTTACATACAAGAGCAAGGACAAAATAATATTTTCATTTTTCCGGACAGATATTTAAAACCCTGTCCTAAGAAACACGTGTATTAAAATATGTAGCCAAACCAGTATCTCCTCCATATAATACCACCTTCCCTCCCGCCCTTCTCAAATGGAGACATAACAAAAACATGTGAAAATTTTATGGGCATGAAAAGTAACCTGGAGTTAGGGATACTCGTAGTGAGGATAGAGTTTCAAAGCTAAAACCCAGAGCAGCCTTGAGCACACGAGAATGTGTGACCATTGTTTGTTTACAGCACATGTGCTGATTAAGAAAGAAAGAAAGAAAAAGAAAGAAAAAGGAAATCGAAATCCAAATCCGGTCTTGCACGAACATTGACTTAATATGCAATCACATGAATAGTTTTTAGCATAAGTATGTCAAAAGTTGTTTACCACAATCTGTGTCCAGCTGTAAGGAAGCAGACTATCCTTTTAAGTTACCAAACTATAGTTCAAGACTAATAAGATCGTCAGAATTATCTGTCATTTGCAGACTGTGTTGCCATAGATCTATTTGATTGAAGACACCTACTGTTCCACACATAAATGTCAAGTTTCATAATATTTCCAATGCTACACTTTACTCTTTTTTTTTTTTTTTTTTTTTTTTTTTTTTTTAAATAACTGGAAGAAAGCTAAAAGTTCCTCTGAAAAAATATTTCCAGATAACGTGGATTTTCCATGCGGCCGGCCAAAACGAAGAGAAAATAAAAGGTCAACTGCAACGTAGAAAGTTCCTTCTATATTATTTCACATACTAACAACCAACTTTTTGCATCCCTTCCCATCCCTACAGTTCTCTTTCGCGGTGGTCAGCGGTCGGGGCAAGGGCCGCCCCAGATAGCAGGGTACCACTCCAGTCATCGCACACTCCTCGCCATTCTCCACGCTGGGTAGATGTATAAAACACTTACCTTCGCGGATTTCCTAACTCAAAGCCCAGAGGCTTTAACTCCACCGAGAAGCCCCTGCAGCTCCCCCAACCCCCGGCATCCCGGGCGGCTTTTTGTACCGCGGAGCCCAGTAAGTGCAATAATTACCCGTGTGGCTCCAGGGTTGCAAAATGAACAAAGGCCAAGATTTTCTTTTTTTTTTTTTTTTTTCCCTCCTTTGCAGGGCTGCTCCCCTCGCCCTGGGCGGCTTTGACATTGATCTGAAGATCGCCATCTTGTGGTAAAGCAGCCCCTAAACCACGGCCGCCGTCCGTCCGCCTGCCTGCCCGCCGGGGCCCCGCGGCAGGACGGAGGGCGGGCGGACTGACGGACGGACGGCGGCGGCGGTGGAGGGCAGTGATCGCTCACCTCCCAGTGTACAAACCTCTGGGCGAACCTCCGCTGCCTTTATAGTGATGCATTTTGTACAGGCGAGCGGACAAGTCACGGACAGTTTTTATGGCCACGATGTCGCAGCAACACAGAGGATGCGATTTTATTGGGCTAGGAAATCCAAACCCCGACCACAGAAACTCCATGCTTTAGATGTCTCTGGGATTGGCTCTAAATACCAGTTAATTTTTAACCAGGAAAGGAAGCTCGCAGACTTAACTTTCATTGCCATTCAGCTCTCCATCCGTCCCTCTGTCCCTATCCCACCGTCTGTTCATCCATCTGTCTGTCTCCTTTTAACTGGCATTTCCCCTTGCACACTGGTCAAACAAACAAAGTCCCGTCTTTTCCCCCTCACTTTTCAACATTCCCTTTGGGCAAACGTTGTCTGGTTGGATGACGGTGGTCAACAAAGGCCCAAAGTCAGTAAGTCCTTCACCTCAAGGTTATGGGTGATGTCCAAGCAATACAGAAGTTCAAAGCCAGTAAACAACGGGAAAACAGAATGTGCTTTCTTCTCCTGACTAGGATTAGGGTCAGCATTAAAGATTCAAACACTCTTCCCAAAACACATTTCTACCTCAGCTATTGTTTGGGGGTTTATGTCCCCTCCTCCCCCCAACTTTCTTCCTCCAACCCTCCTTCCCCCTTACCCTGCCGCCCGCCTCAGTCCGCCCCCTTCTTGCCGTGGAGATCAAGGACAATTTCAAACAGTCCATTTCCACCACACTGCATGTGGAATTTTTTCCCCTCAAAGACAAAAATTTTCTCAGGGCTCTCAGCTTCTGGTCACATCCATCGGCTGTCTTTGACCTTCTTTTTGGTGCTGGCTTATAAAATGTGCCCCAAATGCTACTGACAAACATTGTCTTGGACACATGTGGTGGGGAGCAAGCAGCGATGGCACATCAAACCTCAAGCATAGGACCTTGCCCTACCATCATTGGCAGGATAAGGTAAAGGCCTAACACATAGCGAGCTACGAACACACTTAATTTTCCTTTTCCTGTGACCCACTGAAACGGTGCTCGAACAAGCCTAGGTTCACTTGTTAACTCCAGTGTAGAAAATTTAATGACCAAGTTCACTAAAGAAGAGTAATTCGCCCCAAATAACTGAACAAGGTCATGAGGAATTTCGGGTCCCAGAGTTACACCAGATAAAAGAACATGCAGTAATATAACACCAGAGTAAAAATGTAAAGTTTCCATTTTTTTTTATTTTCCTTGTGCGCTGTTCCACTGTATACATGCAACCAAATACTTTCGCATATTAAAAGAAAACTGTATATACATATAGATGATACATATTGAAAACAGTGACATCATATAAAGATATTGCCTTTTGTGAACCGTGACAAAGAAATTACATCCATTTGATAAATTTATTAATCAAAAAACATTCTTATCATCACTTTGTTGCACATGTAAAGAAATCCCACACCCTTTAGCCCCAAAGGAACAATTAAAAAAAAACCAAACCAAACCAAACCAAAAAAACTAAACAAGGGGGAAAAATTATTTGAACAAAATAGGTCATGGGTTCTTTTATTTATTATTTACAAGTCTTGTAAAACACCGTTCCTGTATGAAATATACATTCAGATATTCTCAACAGCAAATTACCTTAACGATAGAACACTGTATCCTTTGTAAACTGATATAGAATTTTAAATATTTTCCTTTTTTTTTCTCTCATTTTTTTTTAAATTGCATTTTTTCACGCTTTGGTTCCTGCAGGGAAATATATATATTTATAGATATTTAAAATAAGTCCGAACAACTCTCCATTCTTTGCATATGTCGACTGGGCGACAAAGTAGAGTTCATGACATTTAAAGTAGACAACGACAAAATTACCATATCTACATTGTTTGGCTTCTGTTTAAACTCCTCACTAATCACCTTTAAACGAACATGTGATCAAGTTATTTTAATGATCCAATGTTAGTGCATTGCACAACTCCAAGTTTCAATTAAGTGTTGTGTGGTATTTGCTAAACTGTCGTTCTCCACAGGTATTTCCTGAAGAAAGTTTGTGAGCCAGAAGCCAGAAGGTTAGTTTGCTTTGTGGAGTTGTTTCTTCTAAAACGCTGAAATTCACACTTTTTGCCGTTTTATTTTTAGTATTATATATGATTTGTCTCTGAAAAGATGGCAACGCATAGAGTGTTGTCATAAATAAAACGAGAGCTAATTAAAATTTGCTAATTTTATTTTTAGTGATTGTTACTTTACGATATATGGCGAATTTATACCTGATTTTAAAAAGTAAATCATTAAGTAATTCATTTAGTTCTTTTTCTTCCCTCGTCCCCATCCCACACTCCCAAATGAAACACTATTATAACCATCACTACATCCATATTACAACTAGTCGTGGTTGGCCCCGGGAAGGTGTAGACATGACATCCCTCCTTCCTTTAATTCTCTCTCTCTGTGTGTGTGTGTGTGTGTCCTTAAATTCTCATTTCAAATCCGTGGGCAATGGAACACTGCCTCTAACCCAGACATTTTCTGCTAAGGAAGAACAAAAGATTATTTCTCTGAGTTTATATCCTGCAGTGGTCCTCGTTGGGTGAGCTCGACCTAGCAATCTCCAGACAGCTGTTTCACAGCAGCACAGGGGCTAGAAAGAGCCGAGGGTGGGAGAGTCCAGGGACAGAGGGGTACCGTCCCCGCCTGTGCCTGCCGAAAGAGGTGGCAGGGTGAGCCGCAGCGCCTGGAAAGGTAAGAGGTATGGATTTTGCACTCAGAGGTGACGTGCGCATTTAGAAATGGATCCCATGTGTGTCAAAATCAAATCGATTCCAGTTGATATGTAAATATATATATGAAAAATCATCATTGCAGTTCCAGACTAGGCTTACACGTGTGTAAAGCCTTGGATTCTTTTAGTCCTATCAGATACACACCTCCTTCCTCCACATAACCCCGTGGCTTGACCTTGTCAAGGGCGAAATCTGAATTTAATCTCGTCTTGAAAAACACTATGAGTTTTAAAGTAGTGGATTAGCTGAGTAATATTGTAATCGGTCCCTGTTAATTTTTTTTTCTTTCATTCTTCTGTTCTGAAACCATATTTTGACTTGGCGGTCGGTCAGATTGAGCATTCGGGAGAGCTGGAGGCGTTTCTCTTTGTTTATGTAGACACTGAAGAAGAATTCCCTTTCTAACTCTCTAATCTGATATTTGGTGTATGGGCATCTCTTTTTACGCGTACGTTGTCCACCTGTGGAGTGAAAAAAGGCAGAAACATTTGAGACCCGGCGGTGGCCGGCAGCAGAGGCTGAGGAGAGATGGGGGAACACTCAGGCAAAACACATTAGTACGGAAAAGATGCGTTTTGCCCCCTCCAGGGCTGGCGTTGGCAGGTCCGAGGCTTGGCGCCAGCCCTTCGCCTTGGCCAGTGCGTGCAGCCCGGGACCGGGACCCCCCGGCTCCTGCAGCGCCGCGGCCCCGGGCAGCGTGCAGGGCGAAACCCCCGCCGAGACGCGGGAATCAGCCTCGCTTCCTCCGCGGGGAGGGCGGCCAGAGGAAGAGGTGGTGGCGGGGGGTTCCTGCGGGTTTCACGAGCCGGAGGAAAGCCTTTGTAGAGTGCTCCGCCGGGCGCCACCACGCACGCGGAGCTGCCCAGGGAGCGGCCATCACCTGGCTGCCTGCAGCGGGCAGCGCTGCATCGGGCGGGGAGAGCCCGCGCCCAGCCCTCCCCGAGCCCGTATCCGCTTGTATCTCGCCCTCGTTCCCTGCCTTAATCCTGTCTCTGTGTCCCGAGCAGAGGAAAAGCTCCTGAGCCCAAGGCTGAGGCGTCTCCTTCTCCCCTCAGCAGGCTATTTTCAAGCACGAGGTATTCTCCTCTCGATTAGCCATTACGGTTTTAAAGTTCATTAAGCAGAATATAAAAGGTTTCAAGGTTCAGGAACTCTTTACATTAAATGTAGCTGCTATCCCTTTAAAAACTTCCTTTTCTGGTACAGTTCATTGTCGAGGTATTTTTTCTCCCGTCTGTATACTAGCTTTGCCTTTTAAAAAGCCCACATAAAAAAATCAGACTTTGACAGATTGAATAACAATTGTAAGTAACAAACTGTTGGACAGGAGGCAACACGTAATTGCCACAGTGCCTTACTAAAATGGCTTCCTTTAGACAAAAAGGCCAGCTTTAGGTTAATTTGCTTTTTTAAATATATTGCTACAGTTCAGGCGGCTACTTTATCTGTTAAACGCTATTCTAGTGCAATCGTTAAAACGGTGAAGGCTTTGAATTCAGTTCCTAACTAGACTTCTGGTGCAACACATGGCTTTTATAAAATCACTGGATTACATTGATATCAAAGGAGTCAGGATCTCCTTTTTTTTTTTTGCCGAATTTACAGGCACCAAACGAACGTTACTATATTTCGAGAGTTGACCACGAAACTCTTTTTATTATTAATATTTTAAAAAAGGGGAAAAAATGGAAAAAAAGGAGAAGGAGAAAGAAAAAAATTTTTAGGCATCCATTGCCCGGTGGGTATTTCACGGCCAATTTCAGCACTAAACACGTGATCTCGCCTTTTATAACAAAGTTTTGTTGGGGGAAATCTAAAGGCCCTTCATAAACCTTATATGCTTATAAAACAGCATATAAAAATTTAACAGCGGCGGTGCGCTAGATTTCAAGCTGCCTTTCCTAAAAGCGCTCCGGCGCTGCCTTTATACGTACTGGAACTGCCGGATTTCTCCTCATTGTTGCCGGAAGATGACTCGGGGCTGCTGCTGCTCTCCGGCCGCCTCCGCCTCTCCTTCTCCGCCGCCGCCGCCGCCGCCGCCGCCCTGCCGCAGCCGCCCTCCGAACTTGAAGTTGCCGCCGCCGCCGCCCCGGCGGCCGCGGGCGCCTTCTCGCCACTCTTGTCTACCGAGTAGTCCGCCGAGGCCAGGTTTTCCGCTGTGCCATAAGCCGTCTCGAAAAACTGGTCGAAAGCCTGGGGTAGGACCCCGTTCCTGCCCACAGTGCTATAGAAATTGGAGGAGACGTTGGTGCTGGGGTGGTAGACGTTAGCTGTGTTTTTGCCGAACATCTCGCCCATGCTAGCAGTGTTGGTGGCAGGCAGGCAGTCTCTGTGCATGATCTCCTCTGCGGAGTAGCAGTGGGGCAGATTGTTCCTGGGGTGCCATTTACTGGAGGGATCAATGGCATATTCCCTGAAGGTAACTTCTCTCACAGGTTGGACCTGGGGTAGGTTGGAGGAGTAGGAGTATGTCATAGGGCGAGAAGACGGGGTTTGGGGCAAAAAAGAAGGGAGGCTGGAAAAATCAGGACCCGAGACGTAGTAAGTACAACTTGGCAAATACATGTTAGAGGAACAAGGAACACGCTCATCAAAATCCATCATTAGGGCTACCTCGGCTTCTCCGCATTAGCTGAGCTTAACATGATTCTCTAACGCAGCTGCCCCTTTGAAGCGGATCCGTGAAGTAAGAGATGGGGAGACGTAAGCTGACGTGGAGAGCTCTCCCGGCGGCGGCAGGGAGGTGCGGTCACGTGGCCCGACGTTGACATTGACGAGCGGCGGGCCCGGGCCCCGCTCCCTTTGTGGCCGTCGCGGGGGAAAGCAACAGCTCGTCGCCAGCTCCCAGGGGCGAGCCGAGCGCAGGTTGGCCGGGGGGGAGCCCTGGGGGACACACAGCCGCCCTGCCACTGCCCCAGACATAGCCGCCCGGCCCCTGGCACCCTCTGGCTCTGGAGCAGAGAGGCTTATCAATTCCCCCCGGGGTTAGGTGAGACCTTTCTGTTTGTTTGTGCGCTTGCTGGGGCGTTCGGCGGCTCGCTGGAAGGCTCTGAGAAGGAGGGCACCGTAGAGATGCACGCACGGTTTCTTCTGGAAAGCTGCTTCCGAGGAGGAAACGCTCCTGAAGAAAACGTCCTTATTTTTTTTTTCTTTTTTTTTTTCTTTCCTTTTTTTGGGGGGTTAGGTTTGGGCTTTCCCCCACCCCCCATCCAAAAAAAAAAAAATAAAAAAAAGAAAAAAAAAGAAAGAAAGAAAAAGTCCTCACCCTTCATGGTTTTTCTGGAAACCTTAATAGGAAGAATGTGCCAGGGTCAAGTCTTTACTAATTTTCATGGTGAATAGATTACATGCTTGCATTCATGTTCACTTCCGAAGCGCTTAGTGTCTTCCTTCCCTTACTTACATATTAACCTCAAATACCCCGCGCGGCTTCAGCCAAGCTGTACTGGAGGTAATTAACAATACCAGGTTCCCAGGACGCAGGTTCTCCCTCCTCACCCCCTTCAAATCGTCCCCTGCCTCATTCGCAAAACCAGAAAACCAGAAAGCCCTTTAAAGTGCAGACCACGGACCTAAAGACTGTTTGCTGATCTCTCCGTCTCAACTTTGCCGCTAAATACTTGGAAAACCGGTGGATATTGGGCTATCCCGGCTTGACAAATACTCTGAGTTTAATTGTCAGAAGACTAGTTAAAATTATTTGACATACTGTTAACCCCCAGAAACAAACTCGCCGTACCGACATACTTTCCATTCAGCTTCGTACCGTCGCTGAAGGCTGAGACCCAGGGAGACCTATTTCAAAAACATGGTTAAACTTTTACTATTGTTGCATGAAAGGGACGATATAGAAAGCGGATTGTACAGGGCAGAGACCAAAAAGTACTTCTCTGCCAATAAAAATGCACACCCCACCGAACGAGCAGAGCCAAAGAAAACAGAGGAATACGCCAAAGAATACAGCACCTTTTGAGGCACGGACATCCCTAAGCTCTCGGAAAAAATATTTTTTTGCTATTCTGATGCTCGATTTCAGAAAAGAAATATTTGGGTTCCGGGTGGATTTCATCAAAATAGAAAAACAGAACGGCAAAAGGCTATTGTGAAGTCAGTGCTCTTAGGAAATTAGGCGTAGTTCAAGATCCATGCCCTCGTGGACTTGGGAGTCTAGTGGAAGGGAAACGAAAATATTAGGGAAATAATATTTGTATTTTTTCCCCCTCTTCCTCTACAGTGTTGTGGGAGTATTTATGTATCCGGAGAAAGTTCTCCAGTAAATTCTGGAGATCTTCGGTATTTAAATGTCAACATCGATTTGTTTATTTATTGCTTAGTTTATCGTAACCGACTCTATAACAAATCTAATCATGTTGTGCAGAGAGAAAATATTCTCATTATGTATTTCCCCTACATTACAGTTAACTATTGCGTTTGAATTCAAGCTGTAAATTCAATATTATCAAGTAATTACTTTGTAGTGGAGTAAACTAATTTATTAGCATTAATGTTTATATGCCTTTTTCTTATTTTACAAGGGTTACCGTTCACAAATCAAATGCTCTGGACGTATCCCTGTAATGAACTCTTTATTTTGGTTTTCTGCAAGAACTTCTTATGCTTACTGCATGTCTATGATCTGAACTTGAAATTAATGAATTAATCTTCCAGCTTGACACATTTGCTAGAAGGTGAATGGAAAGAGATCGCATATCGTCAAAACCGCTAGCAGAACACTGCAATGTCGTTCAGGGATTGTAAAAGGGTTTGGGGGTTTTCCCTCTCTCTCCCTCTTTTTTTTTATTTATTTCTTTCTCTCTTTCTTTTTTCTTTCTTTTTCTTTTTTAGTTGAGGTGGGGAGGGTTGTGCCAGAGCTCTGGTTAGGTTTTTCCTTAACGCTGTAATTTTACTGGAATTTACTTTCCCCCCAGTTTTTGCGGGGGAGGTGGGAGGGAAGGGTGGGTTGGGGGGTCGGAAGCCCTCTTTTGGTCTCCGAACGTTGGTTATTTCCCCTGTATACCCCCACCGTTCAATTCTGTCGATGAAAAACCTCTCCCCACACTCTGCATACACGCAGACACCCCTCCCTTCGAACAAAAAGGAATGTATAAGGATTTCAGTGACTTTGAGATAACAAAGGCGCCACCATTGCCGAGCCTCGCCCCGCCTCTGTGTGATGGCAAACAAATTCTTGCACTTGTATTAGGGTTTTTAAGGCTATAATTGAACACGGCGCGTCTAGGAGAACCGAAAACAGTTCTAGACTGACCTGCGGTTTTATGGCACTTTGGCAGTCAACTTCAGCTTGTGTCAGAGCAGACATGACAAAGCTACCCAACGCTTAATCGCAGGACGCCACCTCCTCGGACTCAGGGCAGCCCCCCCTCTCGCATTTCAATAAATTTCAAACCTTGGGGAGCAGAGCTGGCACAGGTTTGTATGGGGCTCTTTCCCGCTCCTCTCTGCAGCCGGGGCTGCGGCGCCGTGCGAGGGTCCGCCGTGCCAGAGGTCGGGGCTGCCTCTGGGAAACAAAGGGAAATTAAGGCAAGAAGGGCGAGAAGGCAACTGGAAGTAGGAGTGTGTGTGCGCGGGTGTGTGTGTGTCTGGGCATATATATGCTTGCACAGCATGCACACGTGCAGCCCCGATGCCTGCTTTTGAATCGCTCGAACTCTCCCCCCCACCTCTCCAAACCAAGCAACCTCGTTCTTCAAGTGGGTTTGCAAAGCAGGAGGACCCCAAAACGCCTCCGAGTTCCGCCTGCACAACAAGCGGGAAGGGTAATGGGGAAGTCTAAGAGGTGCACAGCTCGTCTGGGAGCGAGTAGACACCCAAGGCACAGACTGTTCTCTGCTTTATTTGCTGTTAAGTGAAACAGAGATAATGTGCGCTTAAAGCACCGGAATGTGTGGGTAATTGCAGGGAGCCTGCTGTTAAGTTGCTGTGTTCAGCACAATTATCAATGTTGATTATTTGGTCTAATGTTGAATTGCTCTTTTAATACAGTAATTGGGACTTCCGCGTTGAGGAAGGGGGGAAACCGTGCCTTCCCCTCTCTAACCTCATTGAGAACAACATAAACAAAGTCAGGCATTTCGTTTGGAGAAACAAAATGCATTCGTTACGCCTTCCCATGTATTTCGTCCGGATTAGAGAGGGTAAAACCGCTCTGAAATTGGGACCTCTGCTGCAGGACGGTTTTGCAAAGGAGAAGCGTGGCCAAGAGGTGGGGAGACTGTTACCCATAGCTAAGCTAAACAAAGAGAGGAAGAAAAGCTACATCTCTTCTTTGGAGGAATATAAACAGAACTAGGACGCCTCGATAGCCTAGCTTTTACATATACAGATGTCGTGCAAAGGGAACTTTTTAATTCACTGCCGCTTCTCCAAAAGGTCAAGTTGTACTGTATCTAAAATTGTTGTACTTTGGTACACGGTTTTGCTTGAAAAATATTTGAAGTCGACTATTTACCTTGCCAGTAGGGTGGGTGTCTCTAATTAGCAGGAGAAACGTGTGCTAGAAGGAATTTGTGTCAAGAGTAGCTAATTAAAGTATTACAGGATTGCTGGCTTCAATCTCTGCTCCTCTCGCATAGGAAGGGTGAGGGGTGTTACGACTCGAGCACGAGAAAATAACTCAGAAATTGGGACGGCGTTTTGTAAAATTGACGGTTGATTACAGTCTACAAAGGCTTACTACAAAAACGTGGCACTAGGGAATTCACAACGTTGTTGCCAACGAAAAGTGCACCCCCTTCCCACCTTTACCAATGAAAATAGGGGCACAAGGCGATAATTCGTTACAAAATTTGCCAGGAACGCAGCTTCAGAAAAATGCGCTTCTTATTTGGATTTTAAATATTTCGGGGTCAGAAGTTTTTAAAAGGCTTTTTTTTTTTTTTTCCTGTTTCCTGTTTTGTCTATTATGGAAAGGAACTATACATAGCCATCTTTTTTTTTTTTTTTTTTTTTTTTAACTAAATATGCAATAGAATGTAGTGCTACAATAGTTACCTAAATAATTTAAATAATAGGTGATTTATGTATATATATCAGCGAGATGGAAGCCCAGCGCTGTGACATGGGACCGACTATTTATTATCCAAAACCTGAAGCGGTATGGTTGTGGTTTTGCTAGGGAACTGCAGAATACCTGTAAAGAGAACGAGCTGATGCAAACAGGATTCAAGTCAATGTTATTCTGACTTTTTTTTTTTTTTTAAACGAACGCATTACATTATTTCAGAGGTTTGAACACCCCGAAAGGCTGTGCTCATCCGGATGTAGAATATTTTAGATTAATTTTAATATCAATTACCGAAATCCTTTCGTTTCCTCTATCACCCTCTCTGTCTTTTTAAGTCGTTGAGGTGGAAAAGCTTGAGAGGGTGGTTGTTGGTTGTTGTCTTTTTTTTTCCTACCAAGCCTCCCGTCTATTTTAATATTAGGATTAAACGACTACGGACCTACAGAGATCTACCCGTTGTTGGTGACTAATCATGATATTTTGCTCATCAGAGCAAAAAGGGCCCTCTCCGAGGGCTCTCTTTGAAGGCAGCCTGACTATGGTATCTGCAACAAGCCGAAATATAGCGGGCTTTTTTCAAGAGAAGTTCCTCACCCCCCGGTCCCCCAGCCCT